TGCTGTATTTCTATGGCAAGAAAGGTACTGAGTACATAATAGATACTCAATGAATATAAATGAATGGATGAATGAATGAATGTCTTTGGGAATGACTACCAATCTGTCTTTAGGCCCAGCCTCCCTTACTAGGACCTTTCTTGAAGTTCTGGCTGCCAGCTAGAACTGCTTTGCTGGGTGTGTGTGGCACCACAAACTGAAGCTTTATTAAGGCAGTTTAATTATCTTATGTATGTGTTTGTTAACTTAAGGACTGACTATTTTGTTCACTGTTGTCTTCTCAATGCCTAGTACAGTGGCTGGCATAGAGCAGACTTTTAATATTTGTTGAATACATGAATGAATGATTTTCCCTTCCTAACTAGTTCTCCCTGACTTGCTTGTTTCTCTTTGTAACATATCATTTTCCTAGTTGCTAAAGCTCAAAACTCCTGACAGCTTGGAATTTCCCCTCTTCTCTTTTCCATATTCAATCAGTGGCCAAAACCTGCCCATTCACCTACTACATTGGCACTGTCAATATTGTAGTTCATCACACAACTCAAATGTCACAACAGCCTCCCAATTGACCTCTCTCGTTCCTGTTTCTCTCTCTTTAGTCTATCTCTATCAGATTTTTTTCTATTTTTCTCTCCCATAAAGTGCTCTGATCATGTTATTTCCTCTGGCTGAAGCTTTCAATGGGTCTTTGTACCAATTAGCGTTCTTAATTGCAAGCAGAAATGGACTCTGGTTCACTTAAGTAGAAGAGGAATTTACTGGAATGAAGTCAGACAGGAAGTCTCATGAATCAGGCTTGGGAAATAGGCAGGAACCAAGAGAAGGTACCTCAGCCAGGTCTTGCCCCAGGAGTAGCCTGATTAAGGGGCTTCTGCCCTTGGGCCCTGGGGGCCGTTTTTTGCACAGCCACGATCCTGAGATCTGGCTGTTGCTGCCTCTAGGTTGAATTATAAACAGTTCTCTGCTTCCTTGGGTCACTTACTGAAGATTCATAGTCCTGAGTAGGATCATTGATTTGACATACTTTTGAGGTCACAGTTCTGTGACCTTTCTGCCAGCGGTCAAGGGAGCAAGTATCTGACCTCCTACTAAGACTTCCAATAAGGAGGATCCTCCAACACAGGATGGAGGCTCAGATGTTGGGCAGTTGATGATCCCAGTATATACCAACATACAGGTTCCTGAGCACGTCATTGAAGCCCTTCACAACCTGCCACACGTTATCATTTCCAGGTTTTCCCCTTGCACACCATGTTCCACTGACACAAGACTACATGCAGTTCCCTGAGCTGATCCTTCTCTGCCCCAGTCCCTTATCTCAGCTTATCTCCAAAGATGGTCCCCATTGAACTATGTTTCCTGACATTCACGCCTATGTATTGTCCTCTCCCCTTGAACCTGGGCTGGCCCTGTGATTCATTTTCACTCATAGCATGCTGTGGAAGTGACACTGCATGACTTCCAAAGAGAGGTCATAAGAAGTCTTGTGGCTTCTGCCTCAGCCTCTTGGAATGTTCACTCTGTATACTCTGAGACCACCATGCTATGAGCAAACCTCAGTAAGTCACATAGAAAGATTGTGTAGAGAGAGAAATGCCTGGCCAGTCCCCATGTGTTCCAGCCAATTCAGATGAATTGCCAGACATGTGATTTTAAAAAGCCATCTTGAATATCAAGCCCACCTGGCCTTCAGATGACTCCACCCCCAGCCTATGCACATACCCACTCATATCTACACTTGTCAAAATCCCTCCACTTAGTGTGGCACAAGACAGAGGAAAGAGGCAGGCTTTGGGGTCAGGCTGTGGGATGGGAGGGGTTGAATCCTATTTTCACTGTCCCTCTGACCTTGGACATAATTTCTCTAGACCTCAGTTTCTGCATCTGCCATATGTAAATAAAACACTTATCTTCTGGAGTTGTTTTGAGGAGTAAACATAAAATATGTAAAATATCTATGCATCTAATCCATTTTAGTCTCATTGAATGATGACCCTTAGGAGAATACCCATCCTTTTAGACCTGTATCAAATGGCACTCCCAAGGTCTAATTCTCATCACTTATCAACTATATGGTTTTGAACAAAGCCCTTAAACTCCTGAGTTTTACCTTCCTCATATGTAACATGGGTTTGATGATAATATCTGTGTAATGGGGCTTCTTTACTGGGCTAAGAACTAGGCTATCTCATGGTGTTAGGCAACACTGCCACCTCGAGGCAGAATGCCCAGAACCCTTAAATCTGCATGGCATCAAGAATCCTTTGGAAGAGGATGAAAATCATGCCCACAATTGGGATTTGGGGCATGAACAGACATGTCTAGTGGGCCAGGGGACTGTGGTAGAAGCCAAAATGCAGAGAGGAACAGCGGAGGCTCTGAAAGCTCATCACCCTGAGTGAGAGTTTTAGATGGAAGGGGAAGGGGAACTCAGAGCAGAGTGAGGAGTGTTATCTGGAGTGGTGTGAGGCTGGGCATGGCCATCTTGTGGCTCAAAGCACCCCCATCCCCCACTCTCCCAGGGACTTCCTGGTGGAGGAGGAAAGGTCTGGGCTATAATGGCAAGGACAGGGGTCACCAGGAGCACACATTATCTCTACCATGGGAACCCTTATGAAAGAGCTGAGAAGAAGCAGAAGATGCTTTCCTATCTTAGAGATAGAGAGGCATTCTAGGGGCCAATGGACAAAGGGCTCCATGGGCCGGTGGACTGGCAGAAAGTCCAGCTGTGATTGTGAGATGAATGTCATTGGGCAGTTAGCCCTGACCACATGGTAGGCAATCCCACTGGGTTTCTTCTTGAATTCCCACTGGAATGTTAGGAGACATGGAGATCTGGGAAGTTACAGAAGAGAACATACTGTATGATTCCAGTTGCATCCTGTGCAAAAACAAGCAAAACTAATTTATGCTGTTAGGAGGTAAGATAGTGGTTACCCCTACATGGGGAAGTAGTGACTAGAAGGAAACATGAGGGGGATTCTGGAGGCTGGCAATGTTTTGCTTCCTTATCAGGGAATTAGTTATCCCAGTGTGTTCATTTTATAAAAACTTAAGTGCACTTAAGATTTGTGCAGTTTTCTGTATGTTACTTCAAGTACAAGTTCACACACACACACACACACACACACACACACACACACACACCTCTGTTTGGGAAATAGAGGATGAACAGTCATTTCCCATTGTAAGCCTTTTGAGATGTCACCACATCAGGGAAGGGAGTAAGAGATTAGAGGGCTGGAGGCGAGGACCACTTAGTGTCTGGCCAGACTTATTTCACTTCTTCCATTCATTCACTTATGGTTTATAACAGTACCTCCTACACATTGAACACTGTACAACATGTAAGGGGATAAAAAAAATTAGCAGTAGCTTCCATTTATTGGGAGCTTATTTTGGAGTAGGTTCTGAACACACATCCAATGCTCGCAATGATCCCATGAAGTAGTAGTATCCCCATCCATTAGTTGAAGAGTCTCAGAAAGGTTAAGGAAGTTGCTCAAAGTCACACAACATAGAAAGTGTCTGGATTTTCACGTGAACCTGAATCTGTGTGAACCCAAAGCCAGGACACTTTTCACGGAACTACACTGTCCTCTAGGAATCTAGACGTTGGCGGGATTTGTTGACACATTGCTCTACCACAGCAATGAGGCCTTAGAACTGAAGTCAGACTGCCTGGGTTCGAGTTTTTGGTCACATCCTTTCTGTAGCCCTGGGCAGGTTCCTTCACTTTTGAGCCTCAGTTTCCCCATCTGTATAACGAGGATAAAAAAAAACCTGGCCTTTCTCTGGGTGATTCTGGGGATTAAATGCGACAACGTGTGTAGACCCCGGTATCTGGCACCCTTTAAGCACCTAGAAGAGGCAGTCATTAATATCTGAGTCCTTATCACCCATATAAGGCAGTAGTACTTCAGGAGCATGAACACCGGGTGGAAGGTGGTTCCCTGCCCTTAGGCTTCTGGTCTGAGCCCTTACGGCCGAGCGGACTTAAATGAGCCAGGGAGCCTTAATAGCCCTGTCGCGGCCGGGCGAAGAGCCCGAGTCCCCATCACCACCCAGAACAACCAGCAGCAGCAGACCCCGGGCGCGGGTCTCCTGGGTCGGCTCTGGCAGGCGAGAAGCAGCGAGATCGCGAGATCTGGCGGGACCCGCGGGTTTACAGGCGGAAGTGAGGGGCGAACCCGACGCAGCGCGCCCCGTTTGAAACCGGAGACTCAGTCCTGCTGAGACGCGAGGTGGGTCGGAGGTCTCCGTCCCTTCTGGGCATAGAGCGGGCACAGGGGGAGGGCGAGGGAGAGGGCTGCGCATTGGGACAAGTTGGCTTAGCGGGGGAGGGGACCTCTGCGTGAGGTTTAATTGGCAGCTGCCACAGCTTCATTCACGGGGCAGCTACCACGGTCCGTCCGCGCGCTGCGAGCCAAATTGGCGAGGGCCCCTTTGCCCCCACAGAGCTCAGCCAGGGCCGCTGTACCTTCCTCCAAACACGAGTAACGTTCCCCACTTTGGCTCAGCCTTTTCATGAGCCTTTGTGGCTGCAGAAGTGATTTGCCCTGACGCTGATGAAACGTCACCTCTGGCCCCTCACTTGCCCAGGCCCCAGTCTATGGCCGTGGAAGAGATCCTACAATCACATCTTATAAAATTAGTCAAACTAAGATATTTTAACCCAAATCTGTTATGATCATTGTCTTTCCTTGAAGACTGCCCTATTCGGGGGCATTGAAGTGGCCGTGGGCATTTTGGAGTAGGGAATACTCTTCATTTGAGTTAAGTGGTGCGTGTTCCATGTGTATGTTTAAGTTATTGCCAGCCTTCCTGGTGAAGGAGTGCCTTCAAGAATCCTCCATACCCGACTGCGCTGAATTACAAACATGGTGACCTAAAGGTGCCACCGGTTTTAGTCCTAGGATATCCAGCACCAGAAGAATGAGGAGATGCAAAAGATTAATTACTGCACAAGAGAATGTGAAATTCCTTGAAATCTTATAGCTCATAAAGAAAAGAAGCTTGATAGAGATTTCCCCAACTTTGACAACCATCCTAAAACAATGAATTGGGAGGCTGTAAGAATCTTTTCTAAACTAGCAATAATAAAGAACAAATTTTTATCAGCTGAGAGAGAAAAGACTGAATTATCTTCCTGTTCTCTCCACAGAAAGCATAATTTTCTTTGAGGAGGCCATTAGAGAATATGCAGCCAAAAAACATGGTGAACAAAAAAGTATCTGTGTCAGGCAGTTAATTTAACGAATATGTTATTTTAAAACTTTTCATGATTTTTTTGGGGTATGTACTAATTCAGAAATTTTGTAGTTTAATGTAATTTCTCAGTACAAATATATATTCACACTTGTACCTAATTTTGTGTTTACAATTTTATATTTTTCTTAAAGGGGTCTCATGAATGATATAAACTTCAGGCCTCACAGATGCTAGATCTGCCCTTACACAATTGTTGTCTCCTAATCACTCTGATCAGGACAGGGTGCCTGTCTGTTCTCTTAATTTTTGAGATGAGATGAAAGCCCAGAGGGGTTAAGTTTCTTGCCCAAGGCGTTGCTATTGTGACTGGCAGAACTAGAACTAGAACCCAGCTCTTTTGGTTCTCACTTCAGATATCTGGTCACACCAGGAACGAGTGCCCTGTTCCAAACCTTTCACCTTCAGCCGTCAGTGAGTAGGGCTTAAGTGTGTCTATTTGGTCTACCTTTGGGTTCTGAGTTGTAAATAGTCCAGATGAGAGGCCTGGTAAAGCTAAAAGGGAACAAGTTGTGTGTCTGAAGTGCCTCCAAATCTCAGATGATGGCAGCCTTCTCTCTGTCCTGCCAGTGATGAAAGAAGGCCAGCATCTGGTGGGAAAGAACAGCGGAAAAACTTCAGCCTTGGGTCCTCCTTTTGTGTCAGGGTAAGTGTGGAATCCTTGAATAGAAACACTCAACTGGTGAATCAACCAACTGTGTGTGAATATGCATGTGAACATGTCTTTTGCTACTTCTTAAGCTTAGTATATTTTTGGTCGGTTTCCCTGGAGACTTGAGAATATGTAGAGGGCTTACCAAGTGTAGTTTACTTTTGCCAGTTCCGCTTCCTTTCCAATTCTCAAAATTAGTCACCCCGTTTCTCCACTTGGACTGATTTTTGTCCAAGGTCACTAACTTATTTGTTGCTCAATCCAACTTTTCAGTCCTTATCTTCATTGACTCTCCCCGGCTACCAGTATTCTTTTTAAATGTAAATCTGATCCACCTCCACTTAAAATCCTTCAGTAGCTCCCTTGCTTTTAGGATTAAGATCCAAATCTGACCCGCATGGTCAGACCCAGTCCTCTCCAGGTCATCCCTGTTAAACACGCTCTTCCATTTCTCCAACGAGCTATGCTCTTTTCCTGATTACAAAGCTTTTGCATATGGTCCTTCATCTATTTCATATAAATATATATGAAATATATGTATCTATACTATTTTATTTATATACATATACTATTTTATTTATACTAACATATATATGTTTATATATGTATAATATGTGTGTATATTGACACCAGTGTGTGTGTATAATTTTATTTATACATACATATATATACTATTTTATTTATACCTACTGTTTTCCAGAGGTTGTTTTGGTGCTGGAGAAATAACAGCAAACAAAGCAGGCAAAAATTGTTGCCATTCTTGAGCTCACCTGATGATTGTTTTTTTGTTGGAATATTCTTCCCCTTCCCTCTTTTTTTTTTTTCATGGTAAGGAGTTTATTTATTCCTATTTATAATAGGAATATTATAATATAATATAATAATATTTTTTAAATAACAGCTTTATTGAAATATAATTCACATACCATAAAATTTACCCATTTAAAGTTTAAAGTTCAATTTAGTATATTCTAAATTGGTGCAACTATCACCACAATCAATATTAGAATATTAAAAATGTTCTAATATTCACCCCAGAAAAAAACCTTATACCCATTAGTAGTCATTCCCCCTCCCCTTGCAAATCTCCCCAACCCTAGGCAACCAGTTTACTTTCTGTCTATAAATTTGCCAATTCTGGACATTTCTTATAAATGGAATCATACATTATGTGGTCTTTTGTGACTGGCTTCTATCACTTAGCATACTGTTTTCTAGGTTCATCCATGCTGCCATACTGAGGCGTGTATTAATATTTCTTTTTATTTTTTTATTGAGATATAATTGACATATGACACTGTGTAAGTTTAAGGTCTTCATTTCTTTTTATTGTCAAGTAATAATAATATTCCATAGTATGATATACCACGTTTTGTTTATCATTCATCAATTGAATAACATTTGGGCCGTTTTTACCTTTTGACTATTATGAATAATGTTGCTATGAATATTTGTGTATAATTTTTTGTATGAACATGTTTTCATTTTCTTGGGTATATACCTATAGGAGTAGAATTGCTAAATCATATAGTAAATCTATGTTTAACATTTTGAAAAACTGCCAGACTGTTTTTCAAAGTGGCCCACCATTTTTCATTTCTACCAGCACTGTATGAAAGTTCCAATTTCTGCATGTCCTTGCTATTATGGTTGAATTGTGTCCCTCCAAAATTCATGTTCAAGTCCTTACCCCACCTGCCGCATATGAACTTCTTTGGAAATAAGGCCACTGCAGATGTAATTAGTTAAGACGAGGTCATATTGGAGTAGGTTGGGCCCTAAATCCAATATGACTAGTGTCTTTTGTAAAAAGGGGAAATCTAGACACAGGGAGAATACCATGTGAAGATTGGCATTATGCCGCCACAAGCCAAGGAACTCCCCGAAGCTGGGAGAGAGGCCTGGACCAGATTCTTCCTCAGCGCATTTGGAGTGAGCATGGTCCTGCTGACACTTTGATCTCAGACTTCTAGCCTATGTTAAAACAATGGCAACAGGCCCAAAATGGAGTCACTTATGTTAAGCCCCACATCACCAAACTGAGACTTATTACAGTTTCGGCTCTCCCAGAAATGGAATCTTAAACCAGTCAATCAAGAATCACTTGATCAGCTAGTGAGATAATCTACCTGATAGACCCCTGTCATCCCCAAAAGGAAAGTAACCTTGCAGTAATCAACCTACTTTTTTTGCCTAGTACAACTTTCTTACCCCTGCTCTCTTCTGCCTATAAAGGTGTTTAATTTTGTACAGCTCCTCCGAGCTCCTCTTTATCTGCTAGATTAGATGCTGCCCAATTTGAATCAATGTATACTCAAATAAACTCTTAAAAATTGAAATGTGCCTGTTTGTCTTTTAACACCTCCAAAACGCTAAGTAAATTTACAGACAATAAATTTCTGTTGTTTAAGCCACTTGGTTTATGGTATTTTGTTATAGCAATTTTAGCCAACTAATACACTCACAAACACTTGTTTTCCATTTTAAAAAGTATTATTCTAACCATCCATTGGGGTGTGAAGTGGTACCTCATTATGGTTTTGACTTGCATTTCCTTCATGCAAATGGTTTTGAGCATACTTTCACATGCTTGTTAGCTATTTGTATATCTTCTTTGGATAAGTGTCTGTTCAAATCCTCTGTTCATTTTTAATTGGATTATTTGTCTTTTTATTATTGAGTTTTAGGAGTTCTTAATATATTCTATTGTAGATAGAAGTCCATAATCAGATACATGTTTTGCAAATATTTTCTTTTGTGCTTAGGTTGTCTTTTTCACTTTCTTGATGGTATCCTTTGAAGCATAGAAGTTTTTAATTTTGATGAAGTCCAATTTATCTGCTTTTTCTTTGGTTGCTTGTGCTTTTGGTGTTTTATCTAGTGACATTTGATCTACCTCAAATGTCTCGTCCTCGGGGAAGATAGCATTCCCTGATATATGCTCTCACAAAACCGCCTCTGTAATTACAAATTTATTGGTGAGATTTATTTGATTGTCTTGCACTCTAGATGTAAATTCCAGGAGAATAGGGTCCGAGTCAGCTTTTTCTCTTTTCATTGTGTCCCTAGCCCCCTGCATAGTGCCTGCTATGTAGAAGGTGCTCTGAATTGTTGAATGATAATGACTCTCAAATCTGTTTCCTACATAGATGCCTCTCCCAAGCTTCAGTCCAGCATATCTGACAGAAAAGAATGTGTATGTTGCTGTTGTTGAGAGGAGTGTTCTATAAATGCCAATTAGGTCAAGTTGGTTAATAATGTTACAGATCTTCACATCAAATAGGCAAAAAAAAAAATCTCAGCAGCACTGTAGATCTTTCTTCTAATCAGAGATACCCATTCATTCAAAATTTATTTATGAAATGCCTGTTGTCTCCCAGGCTCTGTTCTAGGCACTGAGGACATAGCAGAGAACAGAACAGATTCCAGGAGAAGGAGAAAGTCCAGAAACATAAAAAAGAAATAAATATTCAGAAGTGTCTGTAGTTTTGACCCTCTGATCAACATCACCAGAAAAGGAATAAGAGAAGTACTGTTATATTTGCCACCAGGTACTATAAAACTGTGCCCTTGCCTAATTTTATTTCAGCAAGCCTTTACTGCAGACCATTTATGTGCCAGGCACCACACGTTGAGATGCTGGTTCAAAGATGAAGAAAGTGAGTTTTCTATCCTTGGGGAACGCAGTGTGGAAGACAGATAGGTAAGTGGATAATTATATTACAGGTGATCCGTGCTATGATGGAAGTGTGAACAAAATTCTATAGAGCAGAGAAGAGTGACTATTTCTGCCTGGGGGTGTCAGATAATGTTTGATGGAGGAGGGGACATTTCAAGTGAGCCTGAAGAAGGACTAGGAGATGGCTAGGTGGAGAGGGGGAGAAAAGACATCTAGCTGTTTGTAGATAGAATAAGTTACAGATACTGTCTAAGTTCTGAAATGTGGACTGCTCATGGTAGCCTAGCACCCTGAGGCAATGGTGGGGTTGGAGAGTCATAGAGATTAATGATTTTTGGAAAAGGAGGCTTGAGGCTTGAGTTGCTACCAGTTAAAATGACTCGGTTAATATGCAACTCCTTACTGTTTCCCTATGCAGAAACCATTCATACATCCACCATAGTTTTTCCACTCAATTTTTAAGTTAAGGTGTCAACAAGATTTAAAGTACTGCTGTACACATTTGGGGGTGGTGGTGGTATAAATTGGTACAACCTGTAAGGAAGGCAGATTAGCAATACCTATCAAAATTATAAATGCTGCATATATTTGTGACCCAGCAATTTATCTAGTAATTTATCATAAGATGCATTCACATGTGAAATAACTTAGATACAAATATCCATCACATTATTGTTTGTAACGGCAAAAGAAACAAATTAAATAAATGTTCAAGAGGGGATTGGTTAAATAAATTATGATCTCTCTTTAAAATGAGACACTACTCAGTTTAAAAAGAAAACAGAATAAGGTAGCTCTTTATGTCCTGTCTGAAATGGTACGATATATTGTCAAATGAAAAAAGCAAGGGGCAGAACCATTCATATACAATGGAGATGGAAAGAATTCAAGTCCTCTACGGAGTGTTTCAATGGCTGAATTTTAAAGAATCCTGGGCTGTCTTGCCTGCAGACTCCTTGTAATATGTGACTAGATACTCTTTATTGTTTAAGCTAGCTGAGAACAAGTCTTTTGTGACTAGTAGCCAAAAGCATCCAGATATATAACTCCGAAGTGTGCAGAGGTCTTTGTGTTTGAACCTGGAATATGCAGAAGGGGGAGTTAAATCTTTGACTTGCAGAAAGTCTCAGTTTACCTCATTTTAACTCTATTGGGCACTCCCAAGTGCTTCCCCTTTCTGGATATTCTGAGCTCTGGACCTGAGAGCAGCCAGCTAGCCACACAATGCAGCTGTGGGAGTTTCTGTGCAGAGATGCAACCTGGCAGGATTCAACCTGCCTGGCTTCTTTCTTAATACAACCTCATCAAAGCAAAATGCTGAAGGACTAGCAGGATCTATTTGCAGTCGGGCAAGAGGGCAATGCACTGGATGCTAGCATAAAGCATTATAGTGTGGAATTCAAACAACCCACTCTCTGCTCACAGGAAGACTCAGGTCATCCAGATGTGCTATCGTGACTGCAAAGCTGAGAACTCTCTAGATCAAGCCATGTGGTCTGAGAACTTGTCCACACAACTAAAGCTGTCCTCTCAGTATCATCCAGACAATTTTAATTAAGGACTTACATGACTCACTTGTCCATTCATTAAAGAAAACAAATATTTGTCACCTGTACTCTGCGAGGTGCTGGGAATACAACAGTGAGCAAACCTGAAATGGCCTTGCCTTTGTTGACTTACAGTTTAGAGGAGGAGATGACAATTAGTTGAATAATTATCAAATAGGCATACAATTATAACTGAATTAAGTATTATAGAGGAAGGGTTTATGGTGGAAAAGAGTAGTTAAGAAAAATACCTATTTTAGAATGGAATCAAGAAGGTCTGCCTGAGGAAATGACATTTGAGCTGACATCTGAAGAATGAGTGGGAGTTAACTAGATGATTGTGGGAGAAGAGCATTCCAGGCAAAAGGAATAGTTATTGCAAAGACCTTGGGGTGGGGGTGGGGAGAGCATGGAACACTCAAAGAACTGAAAGATGGAGAATGTGATTGAGGGCAGACAGTGAGGGGATTGTGCTGAGAGGTGAGGCTGGAGCCTGGCAAGGCAAAGCCAAGAGACATGAAAAGTATTTTTGTAAGAGCAACAGAAAATACTGTGGCACAAAGTGTTAGTTGTCCCTCGGTATCCATTTCTTTCCCCTCTGTTCCTTAGTATTCAAACCCCAGAGTTTCGGCTCAGCACATGGCTCCCCATTTCCCAGACTCCTTTGCATATAGGTGTGCCCATGTGACCAAGTTCTGACCAGTGGGTTGTGAGCAGAAGGGCAGGCTTCCATTTTCTCCTATTTTCTTCTCACTGGCCAGAATGCAGACATGATAGTGGGGGCTGGAGGAGCCAGATCATGAGATGGAAGTCATATGTTGAGGATGTCAAAGCAACAAGATAGAGAGAAACTGGATCCCCGTCACCGGGGAGCAGTCATAGCAGCCCTGACCTGTTAGACTATATGTGACAAACTGATAAATTTCTCACTTGTTTAAACTACTGTTTTTTGTCTTTATCATAGAAGTTACACCTATATTCTTAATGATTATTATGGACTGAATGTTTCTGTCACTCCAAAATTCATATGTTGAAATCCTAAAACCTGGTATTGGGAAGTAGGGCCTTTGGGAATTGATTGCATCACGAGGGTGGAGCCCTCATGAATGGGATTGTGTCCCTATAAAAGAGACCTCAGAGAGCTCTCTTACCCCTCTACCATGTGAGGACACAGTGAGAAGATGATCATCTATAAACTAGGAAGTGGGCTCTCACCAGAAACCGAATCTGCCAGCACCTTGATCTTGGACTTCCCACCCTTCATAACTGTGAGATAAATGTTGTTTAAGCTGCCAATCCATGGTATTTTTGTTATAGCAGGCTGTAAAGACTGAGACAGTGACACACCACTGAAGTGTTCTAGGTGATGGAATCAAATTTCCATCTTGAAATGATCACTCTGGCTGCTGTGTGTGGAAGGTAAAAGTAGTGAGAACAGTCAGAAATCATTATACCCCCCTGTTGAGGAGGATGGTGTTTTGGACCTGAAAAGTAGCTGTGAAGCGGGGGCCAGACCCCATTAGAACGCCTTTTGTCTGGTGTAGTGGAAAGAGCATGGATTCTGGCATTAGGGAGAGCTAAGCTTTACTCCAGGATGCACTACTCTGTAGCTGTGACCTTGGGCAAGTTATAATACTTAGCATCACTGAGTCTCATCTATTTATTCAAGTTAAGGTTCTTTTCAGGAAGATATGGCAAATTTTAAGATGGCCTTCAGACTTGAACTGCAATGTAATATGTGTATTATTTATATATACACACATACATCCTATTGGTTTTGTTTCTCTGGAGAACCCTAACTAATACAGGGATAAGCTTTCTATTGATTTATAATATACATACAAATATGAAGGGCATGGCTCAATGAATTTGTACAAAGTGAACACACTCCACCACCATCCACAAGAAGATGTAGAATATTGGAATTCTGTTAAAATAGCTATGGCAGAGGCACAGTGTTTTACCGTAAATCCCTACATAAAGGCAGACAGAACAATTAACAAAACTAAAAACCCATGGAAAACTGGACAGCTACACATACAAGAATGAAAACTAGACTACTATCTCACACCACACACAAAAATTAAGTCAAAATGGATCAAAAACTTGAATGTCATAAAACTCCTAGAAGAAAATATAGGCAGTAAGCTCTTGATATTGGTCTTGGCAATGATTTTTTTTTATTTGACATCAAAAGCAAAGGTGATAAAAACAAAAATAAAAAAGTGGGATTACATCAAGCTAAAAAGTTGCCCAGCAAAAGAAGTCATCAACAAAATAAAAAGACAACCTATCGAATGGGAGAAAATATTTGCAAATCATATCTGATAAGGGGTTAATATCCAAAATAGATAAAGAAATTATATAGCTCAATAGCAAAAAAACCAGTCTGGTTAAAAAATGGGCAAAGAATCTGAATAGACATTTTTCCAAAGAAGACATACCGATGGCCAACAGGCACATTAAAAGATACTCAACATCACTAATCATCAGGGAGATGCAAATCAAAACCACAATAAGATATCACCTCACACCTGTTAGAATGGCTATCATCAACAAAAAAAGAAATAAGTGTTGGCAAGGATGTGAAGATAACCCTTGTGTACTGCTGGTTAGGAATGTCAATTAGTGCAGCAACTATACAAAACAGTATGGAGGTTCCTCAAAAAACTAATAGTAGAACAACCATATGATCCAGCAATTTTACTCTGGGTATTTACTTGAAGAAAATGAGAACACTGATTCAAAAAGTTACATGCACCCCATGTTTATTGCAGCATTATTTACAATAGCCATTGATGGATGAATGGATAAAGAAAATGTCACACACACACACACACACAGGAATACTATTCAGCCATAAAAAATGAAATTTTGCCATTTGAGACAACATGGATGGACATTGAGGGCATTATGCTAAGTGAAATAAATCAGAGAAAGACAAATACCATATGATCTCACTTATATGTAGAATGTAAAAAAAAGAAGGAAAGAAAGAAACAAACCAAAAAAGAAAAAAAAATCTCATAGATACAGAGAAAAGATTGGTAGTTGCCAGAGTGGAGGGGATGAGGGTGAAATGGATGAAGGGGTCAAAAGGTACAAACTTCCAGTTATAAAATAAGTATGTCATGGGGATGTGATGTATAGCATAGTGACTATAGTTAATACTGCATTGCATATTTGAAAGTTGCTAAGAGAGTAAATCTTAAAAGTCCTCATCACAAGGAAAAAAACACTTTTTTGTAACTATATATGATGACAGATGGTAACTAAACTTATTGTGATCATTTTTCAATGTATACAAATATCAAGTCATTATGTTGTATATATAATGTTAATAAATATAAATTAATATGTTAGTTATGTTAATTATTCCTCAATTAAAAATAAAAACAAAAACTAAAAACACATTTACAACAAAATTAGGTGGCATGGTATTTCCATGAATCCCATAATAATAGTGGGCAAGAACAAGGCAATGCTACCTGCATGGAACTGGTGTCTGTGCAGAAAAAAGCAGAGATAAGTAGTGGGCTTCTGATGGAACTGAGAACAGGAGGATGCCATAATAACCAGTAGGTGTTCCTGGATCAATTTGAGAAAGCAGCAGAAATTGGAAGTGTTTTGCCTAATTCAGTAGTGAGTGAGTGCAAGCAGCCTGTGGCAAGGTCTGAAATAAATGGAGTGATTTAGCCCTTGTGAACTCTCAGGACTGACCGTCAGGGCTCCCTGCTGGGACAGGATTCCCACATGGAAAAGAAACTGCTAAGAGAAGAAGCAAAATTAAGCAGGATGGGGACAACAAAGATAAAGACAAGAGAAGGCCCAGATAAAAATAGGAAGGTGAACAGAGCCAAGAAATCTTACAAAGCATGTTGCCATCTTTTTTATTACTACATGAAAATAACAGTAAAAGGAACTCTGTGAAGTTAGAAGAGCTACCCTGACCCACACTTCCCTCTAAAAGTTCAGGAAAATTAATTTCATGTATAAATAAGCAAAAGAAAAGTATTGAGGCCAAATCAATTACAGAGTTATAAGAAAGTAAGAAGCAGAACCACAATAACACCTGCAGGCAAAGAAAGCATGTCAGAAAGACATGCCCACAAAGCAGATAAGAACCGTAACCTTAACTATTTAGAAAGAAGATGAAAGACGTTAAAAATAATACAAGACATAAAAGAACAACATAAATCAAAGTTAGAGAAACTGAAATGAGGTGACAGAACTCAGAAAAGAATTAGAAATGAAAGAAAAAGTAATTTCAGAAAGAAAGGCCAAATTGGAAAAACACTAGAGTGAATTAATGCCGTAGATAATGCCTTAAGAGAAATAAAAGGTGAAAAGGAAAAATACATTGAAAGTTAAAACAAAATTTAAAAAGAGGTGAAAAGGATTCAAAGAAAATTATAAATATTAAAAATAGGAAAGACTCAACACACAGTAAATAGAAATCTCTGAGGAAAAAAATCATGGCAAGTAAACAGAATGAATACAACGGGGAGGCCCACACAGTGCAGAATGAGGTTTCCTGCCAACACCCACGTGCGTGAGCTTGGGTGCGGGTCTTCCAGCCCCAGTCAGGTCTCCAAATGACTGCAGTCCTGTCTTCATTGTAACTTCATGAGAAGCCCTGAACCAGAACCATCCAGCCAAGCTACTCCCAATTTTCTGATCCCAGAGGCTGTGAGATAATACGTGTTTATCATTTTAAGTCACTAAATTTTAGAGCAATTTTTTAATGCAGCAATAGGTAGCTAATATAATGGGCATTAGGGTAGCTTCCAGTATGGGGCTATTTCAAATATCCCTGCTAAGCACATCCTAACATGTTTTATGGTTAATGTATGTTCATTTTTGTTGGGTATAGACCTGAAAAGAAAGGAAGGGTATAAACACATGGAGAGAAAGCAGGGGAGGGAGGAAGGATTCTAAGATGGCCTCCTTGGTCCTGTGTCCCCGAGTTACTCCTGTGATTATATAATGCGGCAAAGGACATTTTTGCAGATGTAATTGAAGCTACTGATCAGTTGACTTGAAAATAGGGAGATTATCTGGGTGATTCTAACTAACCTAATCATATGAACCCTTTAAAAGCAGGAAGTTTTTTCCAGCTGGTCACAGAGTGGAAACAAGAGACATTCCTAGTGTGAGAAGGATTTCATGCACAATTACTGACTGGTGGCCTGCAAAAGCTGAGAGCAACCCCCAGCTGACAGTGTTCCAGGAAAGGAGAACCTCCGTCTTACAACCACAAGGAATCCCTGACAACCTAAATGAGCCTGGATACAGACTCTTACCCAGAGCCTCCGGATAAGACCCCTGCCCTTGATTTTGGCCTGGTGAAAATCTAAGCAGAGAACCAAGCCAAGCCTGCCTGGACTTCTGACCTACAGAAGCGAGCTAATAAATGGATGTTGTTTAAGCCTCTAAATATGTAAGTTTGTGGTAGTTGTTATGTAGCAATAAAACACACACATATTCGCTTAATCAAGATCTACATATGTAGTAAGAGAATAAAGAAATATATGGAAAGGATAAATACCAAATTTAGAATATTAGTTATTCTGTTGGGGGTGTGGTGATAGGAAGAGAAGACTATTGGGGAGGAGAAAATAAGAGAATTAAAGTGTATAAAGCAATATTTTATTATTTAAACTAGGTGGTGGATATGTTGTTTTATTTTTTTATACCTTTTTGTATGTTTCACATATTGCATAACAGTTTTAAAGATTCATGACCCCCAGTCACAGTTTAGAAACAGCAGAGATGCCAGACTTTCAGGGACCCTTTGGGCCTGGACAATGAGTTCCTCCGAAGGACTGTGCTAGAGACCTTTTTCCATTTTCTGGAAATATGGAAGATGGAATCCCCATAAAAACTAATATTTCATTCCCTTCTACCCCGATAGGATCAGGCTAGAAGTCAGATTTAATTTAACAAAAAACCACAAACAAAAAACAGGGAGGAAAGAAGAGAGGGAGGGTGGAAGAAAAGAAAAAAGAAAAGAAAATTTCTTGTACACTCAAACTTGTGGAGTGAATAAATGAACGAATGAATGGAAAGATGAATTATGAATGGATACCCAAGTACCCATAGACTCACCATCAAGAGTGTGTATTTGGGGGTCGGCTGAGTGGCTCAGTTGGTTAAGAGTGTGAGCTCTGAGCAACACGGTCACCGGTTCGATTCCCACATGAGCCAGTGAGGTGCTCCTGAACTGAGCTGCCACTGAACTGTCAACAGGTGGCAGAATGGCTCAGCTGGTGAGAGCATGTGCTGCTAACAACAAGGTTTCTGGTTTGACTCCCACATGGGATGGTGGGTTATGCTCACCGCAACTAAGATTGAATATGGCACCTTGAGCTGAGCTGCCCTGAGCTGCCAACAGGTGACCAGATGGCGACTGGAATTGGAGCTGAGCTAGCTGTGCCCTTCACAACTAAGATTGAAGGACAACAACTTGGCTGTTCCCCTTCCCCAATTCCCCTACACTGTACCCCTTCCCCAATTCCCCAAAAATTAAAAAAACTTTTTTTAAAAGGGATAGGAAAATATTGTTCCATTGCAGAATAATCCACAAACTATCCGAAAGTAAACAGTCTTGGAATTATTTTTTGTCTGTTTCTTTTTTTTTTTTTTTTAGGGCACCCTTTTCTTGCTGGAGTTCGGCAGTATCAACTAGCTGGGATCATCTAGCTTCATTTTTGAAAGAGCTCCCCAAAGGCAGGCCAGACAAGGCATTCTGGAGTTCTGGACAAGAACCCTGGGGAAGATTAAAGCTCAAACCCACCTCCACCCCTNTTTTTTTAAAAGGGATAGGAAAATATTGTTCCATTGCAGAATAATCCACAAACTATCCGAAAGTAAACAGTCTTGGAATTATTTTTTGTCTGTTTTTTTTTTTTTTTTTTTTTTGGAAGACAGATGTGAACCATGTTGTAACTGAAAATTTTGTTTTGATTGGAGCCTCAGCCACAACTCTGAAAGAGCTCCCCAAAGGCAGGCCAGACAAGGCATTCTGGAGTTCTGGACAAGAACCCTGGGGAAGATTAAAGCTCAAACCCACCTCCACCCCTGCCCCCCAGAGACACTGTGCTAATGTCCCTGATGATAACACTTGGTTCTGTGTGACCACAGTTGCCTCTTACACTGGTTGGGGGCAAACTTGATTCAGAAGCATAATGGAGGGAGATGCATCACATTTCTTATTTGAGCAGGAAGCTGATACCTAAGGAATGCAACCTGGCAGCAGCCCAGAAAGAAGATTTGGCAATTGTGCAGGCTGTAGGGAAATGACTTTCTTATCTCAAGGCTTTTACTTTAAGGAAGGGTCACTGGGACCTGATAAGGAACTCCAATCACCAGCTATGGTTTGGACAGGGAGGTTTGAGGAATTCAACAGGAAATAGGCCTTGGGGTCAGAACCCAGGTTGTGGTCAATAGTCTTCCACAATCAGCCCTTCCACTGGCAACCTGATGTGAGAGACCACCGTCCTCAGTCACTTAGACCAAACATGTTGGTAACTAAAGTTACCGACAAATTCCCAGAAGGATAATTTCCAGGCAGGAAATTTAATTAGATTTTTTTTTCTTGCAAATATTAGATTTGTAACTCAAATTACCTTAAGATTGGAAAAAAGTGGGGAGGAGGGGTGTTTATTGGCTCGTGGACCTGCATCAGGCCCAGCTGGACCCAGGAGCTAAAATTACATCACGAATTTCTCCTTCCATCTGTTGACTGTTTTCGTGTGTATTAAGTTCAGATGACCTCTGACCATGTGGGGCCAAGAGAGTCACCAGCATCTGCAGGCTTTCATCCTACCAACTTAGCAACCTCGGAGAAAGGAAAACACCTCTTTCCCAGTCATTCTAGTAAAACTCCAAGAATCGAGTCTCATTGGACTGGTTTGGGTCACCAGCCCACCTCTGATCCCTTGTAACCGGGATGGTAACTGGTCAGGTCTGTGTCTTGAATCTATCTTGGGGTCTAGGAAAGGGTTAGCCCCATGTAGACCACATGGATTTGGAGTATGGGAGAAGTGGTTTTTCAAAGTCAAATTAGGATATTCTTATCACTGGGAGGCTGGATGCCTGACTGGAAGCAGCAACAGTGGTGCTCCACAGAAAGAACAGGTGGGATCTAGCCATCTCCCAGTTTTCTTCTCCCTCTTAATATTTTCTGATAGTGATGCCACCTTGAGCTCACCTGAAGAAATTATGATTCCATAGGTCTAAGATAAGAGCTCAGTAATGGTATTTTTATAAAGTTACTCCAGGTTTTCTGCTGGGCAGAGTAGTTTAGGAGCTACTGATTAATATAGTGGACAACCTTCTTATTCTTCTCTGCTCCCTCCTCACATCAAAAGGGAGTATATGTAGGGCTCTAGCAATACAATTAGCATTGCTTTTTTACTCAAAGAAAGTAAAAATAAAAGGGTCGGCCGAGTGGCTCAGTTGGTTATAGAGCTCACTCAAGAGTGCAAACTCTGAGCAACAGGGTTGCCAGTTCAATTCCCGGCCCAAGCTGAATTGCTGCTGAGCTGCCAACAGGTGGCAGGATGGCTCAGCTAAAAAAAAAAAAAAGAGTACAAATAAAGGATTGTCTTTATATTTTGAGATCAGGGCAAGGAAAGTGTAAATTAATAAGCCTATTTCAAAGCCCATTCCCCCACCTGTCCCTAAACCTGTACAAATAGCAGATAAACAGAAGTGGCTTCTAGCCAACTAAGATGGTGGGCCAGTAAGCAGGCCCACCAAGATGCTTTACACAAGCAGCTATTCACTAACCCTCATGTTCAGGGGGCAGGAGTCAGCTACCGAGAGCAGGGAGTTGGCTGAGGTCTGGCTCTGCCCTAGGAAAGGCGCTTATCATCATCACAGCTTGGGGCCAGACAGGGAAGGCCATGGACTGGAGAGGACACAATACCAGGCGGGGGAGCTTGACCTCAGTAAAAAACTGATTTTAACTCCCTGACAGTGATCGCTTACCTGTGAGAACTCAGGACAAGCTGGAGAGGGTTTAGCTGCCACCATGGAAGGTGGAGGGGGATGGACAGGGTTAGCCAAATGGTCCAATCCCATGCTCTGTAACTGATCACAGGTCACAGTTCAACTTACTACTATTTATTATTATTTTTCATACCTGTCTTCTCTGTTATACATTCTTTGGAGGCTGGAGCCCTACCTCACGCCTTTTCGTATTCCCAGCACCTAGCACAGTACCTTGTAGGCTACAGTTTCTTGAATAGTATTTGCTGAAATGGATTTAAAATTTTTGCCGAACATTTTCTCAAAGCCGTTGAAAAGCAGAACTAGTCCTACATGGACTCTCTGGAGCTGTGGAGAGAGAGCAGGTGTGGGAGAGCACGCCCCCTGAAAAGCACAGTCACAATGGGGGGCCAGGATGGTGACTGGCACAGAGCAGGCACACAGAGGTCCCCAAAGTTAATGAGGCCTGCTGGGAGCCAGAGAAGGAGACCAGTGCCTGACACTGTCAGGTCTACGTGGTCTCAGGAACAGTCTCAGCAGCAATATAGCCAAGAGGAAAGGACAGCTATAAATGTCGGTCTCAAAAACCAAACGAAAAGAAATAATACTACTACCCTGGCCCATTAATGATGAATGTTGTAGTAAGAAAAAAACCAAAAACATGCTAATGGTACAGGTCAAGCAAACCTTTTCTGCTCTGTAAAATAATGACAATATAATCTGTAATAACACATTTTTTGAACAGCAAGCACCGTGCACAGGTAATATACAAGCATTGTGAAGTATTGTGAGGTTAAATAAAATCTTACAACAGCCCTATGATGGTCCACTTTTGTAGGCCTCAGAAGAACTAAGAAACTTGCCTCAAGCCTCCCAGCTAATAAGTGGAGAGGCGGGATTTGAACCCAGACCTGCGTGACTCCAGAACCCACATTGGAATCTCCACACTATCTGTCTCTTTTAAGGAGACAAACATTTTCTGTGCTGTTTGTGAATGAGTCAGATCTCTTTCTGGCCCCTCATTCTGTCAACAAGGAATCTGGGCTAGTGGGTTCCTTGTTCAAGGAGGACTGAACCCCAGAACTCAGCCTCCCACAGGAGGCAGCTCCTGGAACTCCAGGGGCCCTGAGTGATTCCTGTAAGTCAAAATAAGAAAGGCTGTCATGGTCGTGGCTAGAGTCTAGGGACCAGGTACCATGCAAGGGTTGTTTGGGGCCCAATTCAAGTGAGCCTTGGGGCACAGAAGCAAAGGCTGTGGGTGGATCCAGGGAATATCTGAGCTAGAGCTCTTGAAGGTCCTTCTTTCCCCAAGAGTCCCAGAGCAGGGTTTTCAGACCTCACTGGGGCTAGGCCGGGGCAGAGAGTACCCCTATG